TTTAAAATATAAATTAAACAAATTTTATATTAATTTAAATAAAAAATCAACAATATTTCTCTTCACAATGGAGAAACTTGATAATGTTGAAGGAAGTTCAATTTGCTTAAATGATATTTTCAATTCTTTTCTTCTTAAGATAGAAGAAATAGAATTTTTAGCAAAAGATATCAATTCCAAAGGTGATGCTCCAGTGGCAAAAGTCATTAAAGGCAACTTGAAGTCATATGTTCAAACCGTGGAGGTAGCAAATTTAAGGAAATTTTCTCAAAACTTTGAATTGACCATGGAAAAAAAAAAAAAAAAAAAAAGAAGTTGCATGTGTTCGAACCTTGCAGGTGGTTCATATTTGGACAATCCGATCATCCAAAACAAGTGGGCATCCACCCAGCCCGTTTTAGTAACCGGGTGCCGATTGGATTGGTTAAATTGATTGGTCTAGTCTGATTTTGAAAAACATTGATTTAGCATACTAAAAAGGAAAATTGTATTGGTATGCGTTAAATCCAAAGAAGAAAAAGGAAAAGCCGCATTCAAAGTTGCGAGTGAAAAAGTGACATTCATATGGAGAGTGGACATAAACCATGCTAAAAGTGGATGTGAATTATACATGTAAATCCGACGCAACTGATGGAGAAAAAATGGAATAGTGGCATTCAAAGGCGTGAATCATGGAAAAAGAAAAAAGGCATAAATGATGCTAAAAATGTACATAAATCTTGTGGAAAGTATATGTTTAAATGATGCTAAAAGTGTCCATGAATCATGCTGAAATGGAAAAGTGCTACTCCCCCGGCTATGATACGCAGGAATATTAGGTGAGTTAATTAGTGTTTTGACAGTTTTATGAACTCCTATTATTGGGATCAAAAACCGTTTCAACACCTAAAAAACCCAAGAATATTTTCTTGGAGCAGACATTGTGACGCTTAAGTTAGTAATACTTTATAATTAAAAAAAAAAAAAGCTCTAAAGAGAAGTAATTGCAGAAACAGCAATATAATAGAGTTATTATCTTGCATGGAGAAAGTTAGGGATATTTATAGACCCCATTCATGATGGTACCCCCACGTGTTACTGTTCTGTTGGTGCACTTGTCCTGTGTCACGTGGGTGTTTTATGATTACTTCACCTACACATTTGGGCTTGAAACCAATGTTTGGGCCTATTCCCTAACATTACTCCCCTTTAAGTACTTGTTTATCAAAGCATTGTAGTTGGCAATATGGCCCAATATTGACTTTGATGAGCTAGGTCCAATGATTTTAGGGTAAATGTCTTTAGGCCAAATCAAGGTCCATAGGCTCATTCAGAATCTCTGAGACCATGGATGAAGGGAAGCCTCTCTCAGCTCGATTTGAAAACTGCACTTTCTAAAATCTCCAAAGTAACGAGTTCATGTCTGGGAGAACTAGTGATCTCATTCATAACTGACGAGCTCGTTAAAGATCTAGCGAGCTCATACACTGGCTGAATTTTGGCTATTCAAGCCATATCTAGACTTAGTGATGAGCTTACCTTGAATTTTCTAAATGAAACTGAACGAGCTCATCCATTGAGAATTTTGAATTTAAAAATTCTAGGACTATGTCCCACAGAATTTGGATGAGCTCATCCAACAGGAATTTTAAAAATTCAAAAACCATATCTTGTGAAATCTAATCAACCATCAAGCCTTCTGCACCTTTCAATAAATGCTGGTTCAGTATTTAAACAGCTAAGGTCGTTTCATGCTCCATGCCAATTATGAACAGTTGCCACGTGTGGCATTATGATTGGCTTGTATGAGGGTGTGGGTATAGTGCTTGAGGCGCACATAATCTGGTAAAGAAAAAAGGGGAATGGAAAGAGTTGTATTTAACAACTTAACCATTTCCATTTGTGTTCTTCTTCTTCTTTGTTCATGCTTTTATTATGTTTCTTTATTGTGCTTTTCTTCCATTTCATTCGCTTACTTTACCATTTTTGTGAGGGTTGTAGGTTTTTTGAAAAAGGAACAACTTCAACGTTGGATAAACAGGTAACTATAGATTTTTTTAGGAAATTGCGAGAACTCTGGGGTAATCAGAGGGAGGAGGAAGAGGGGGTCATATTTGCCGTGGTTATTATGATGATTGTATTGTCGACAGTACAAGATGGGCCTGAGCTGGATGCGCCTCTGACGCAAAGCTCCTCAATGACGCCCGTTCTTCCAATTCTAGTTCCTCCATAGATGAATGGGGGTTTGCTGAAGAAGTGAAGAGGTGGGCAGGGAAGAATTGGCCTTAATGATGGGAAAGAAAGCCCTAGAGGAATAGGAATTAGCGCTCACCCATTCTAACTTGGCCGTAAAGGTCTAGGAAGTACCAGTAGATTTGGCAACTATGTTTAAATTTAAAGTTACACTTCATCACAAGGTGGTAAATGGCAAGGCCACCATCAAAAGTTTGAAAAAATTAGACAAGGTGGTGAAGTAATATCAAATTCTCACTATGATTTTAGTGTAAGCCACATTAGCAAAGGAGCGAGTGTGTTTGGAAGTGGGTAATGGGTGGATCCCTGTGTACATAAATGATTTGGAAATGGGCCTAAGATTTCTACTGCCAAGATGATTTTGATGTATTGGCAGATTATGGATTGGTGCTTTCACAGCTAACGCTAAACTCAATAAAGTTCACAATAGGCTTTATGTTGTTATGTGTAAGGTTGTAAGTGCTCACTAGGCCAGTGATTTTTTTTTATCATTATTTCAATGTAGATAAATGAAGAAAACATCGATGTGGTACTACATCTCAGGGCGTGACAAAATGATCATATTCCACAACATTAAGAAAAAAGTGGCGAGCTGGAAGAGGAGGTTCATTTTGTGGGTGACACAAAAATTGAAAGAGTGAATAATGAGCTTGCTGCCTGAATATGTGAATGGCGCTTGCCCATCTTGCATATGAACTATCCCAAAATTGACATCGTGGATATAAATATTAGGAAGAGGATTATGAGATTTGTAGACAAGGAAGGAACGATGGATCTAAAGACACGTACATAGTATTCTTGCTCAAATCTATAGCACTCTGACTATCACAAAATACTTTGTACTCTTTCTGCTTCAATCCCAATTCTTGAAGGAATCTCTTCATCCAAAGCATCTCTTTACGAGCTTTTGTAGCTGCAATGTATTTAGCTTCAGTTGTTGACAAGGCAACACACTTTTGCAATTTTGATTGCCATGATACAGCTCCCGCTACAAAAGTGAATAAGTACCCTGAAATAGATTTTCTATTATCAAGGTCACCTGCCATGTCTGCATTTGTGTATACCTTCAAAATTGGTTAGTTTACCCAAAAGTCAAACACAACTTGGTGGTTCCTCTCAGATATTTGAAGATCCACTTAACAGCTTCCTAGTGAATCTTGCCTGGATTAGACAAGAATCTACTCCTAACACCAACAGCATGAGCAATGTCTAGCCATGTACATACCATCGCATACATCAGTGAACCGACCACAGAAGAGTAAGGAATGGATGACATTTTCTCCTTTTCTTCTTTGGTACTTAGCCAAGATCGTTTACTCAACTTAAAGTGATTTGCAAGAGGAGTGCTAACTGGCTTAGCATGTTTCATGTTGAACCTTTCAAGCATTCATTCAACATACTTCTCCTATGATAAAAATAGCTTCCCGGCCTTTTTATCACGGGTAATAGCCATACCTAGAATCTGCTTTGTTGGTCCTAAGTCCTTCATGTCAAAGGACTTTGATAACTTCTTTTTTAACCTACAAAATTTCTCAACATCTTGTCCCAAAATCAACATGTCATCAACATATAACAAAAGGATAATGAAGTTGCCATCACGGAATGATCTGATGTAAACACATGGATTTGCATTTATTCTTTTGTAGCCATGACTCATCATAAAAGAGTCAAACTTCTTGTACCACTGTCTTGGAGCTTGTTTCAGTCCATACAAGCTCTTCCTTAACTTGCAAACCATGTGCTCCTTCTCTTCTTCTTTAAAACCTTCTAGTTGATCCATATAAATTTCCTCATGCAAGTAACCATGGAGAAATGCAGTTTTCACATCTAACTGCTCAAGCTCAAGATTCATGCTTGCTACTAGATCGAGCACTACTCGAATTGAGCTCATCTTCACCACTGGGGAAAATATTTCATCAAAATCAATCCCTTTTTTTTTTTTTTTACTAAAGCCCTTTACCACCAGCTGAGCCTTATATCTGACTATCTTGTCACCGTCTTTCTTGAGCTTAAATACCCACTTGTTTTTCAGGGTTTTTCGTCCTTTGGGAAGTTCCATAAGCTCAAAAGTATTGCTCTTATGTAGGGAGTTCATTTCTTCCTGTATGGCCTTCATCCAGCAATCTTTGTCTTTATGAGACAGTATCTCCTTGAAGTTCTCCGGCTCCCCCTCTTTAGTGATCAAGATATACTCAGAACTAGGGTATCTTGCAGATGGTTTATGCTCTCTGGTGGACCTTCTCAACTAAGGTTCTTCTATCTATGGCAAGGATTGCTCCCCCTGCTCATTACTTCCCCCATCTACACTTGCTTCATCTTCTTCCATTGTTGGCTCTTCTATCTCCTCTTATAGTACTTGCACCTCTTCTCTATTTGTAATTCTTCTTGAAGGAGTTTTTGCTAGTGTTAGATCTTCTACACCCTCTCCAGAGCTTCTTGGAGCTTTTTCCTCCTTCAAATCATTAATTTTCTCGTGTTCATGAAACATGACATCTCTACTTCTAACAGTTTTCTCCTTTTCTAGGTCCCATAGTCTATAGTCAAACTCTTCATCACCATATCCAATAAAAATGAATGGAATGGCTTTATCATCCAACTTTGTTCTTTGCTCCTTTGGCACATGCATAAATGCTTTGCACCCAAACACTCTCAAGTGAGAGTATCAAACATCCTTTCCTATCCAAACTTTCTCCGAGATTTCAAAGTTCAAAGGAACTGAAGGCGACCGATTGATCAAATACACTGTTGTGTTGACTGCTTCACCCCATAATGGCTTAGGTAGAATTGCCATTCTTAGCATGCATCGAACTTTCTCCACAATGGTATGGTTCATTCGTTCTGCAACATCGTTGTGTTGTGGAGTGCTAGGAACCGTTTTCTCATGTCTTATGCAATGTTTCAAATAGTAGTCTCTGAATTCTTTGGAGGCGTACTCCCTTCCATTATCCGTATGGAAACATTTCAGCTTCAACCTTGTCTCCCTTTCCACCATCGCATGGTAATATTGGAAATACTTGAAAACTTAGCTTTTATTCTGCAACAAGTATGCCCAAGTCTTTCGAGTTGCATCATCAATAAAGATAACAAAATATTTATTGCCACCAAATGACTCCACCTCCAGGGGACCACAAACGTCAGAGTAAACCAAGTCTAGCTTGTTCTCTTTCCGAGTCAAATTCTTTTGAAAAGAAACTCTATGTTGCTTTCTAAACAGGCAAATATCACAAGGATTCACATGTTCGCCTTTGGCAATGGGAATAAGGGACTACTTAGCGAAACGTTGCAATCCTTTCTCGCTCATGTGAGCTAATCTTTTATGCCATAAAATTGGAGAAGCCTCATCTTCAACTATGTTCAATTGACCTCCACACGTTTTCATATGTGTCTTGTATAATGAGCAACATGCACTCCCTTTTGCCACCACCATTGATCCTTTGGTGAGTTTCCAACTGCCATTCCCGAAGTAGTGTGCATATCCTTCTTCATCCAATGCTTTTGCAGACAACAGGTTCATACGCATATCAGGAACATGTCACACTTTTTTTAGTGTCAATGTGCACCCAACATTTGTCTAAACACAGATATCACCAACTCCCATAATATGAGAAACACTCTTGTTTCCCATTTTTATGGTGCCAAAGTCTCCTGCTTTGTATGTTGAGAAATATTCCCTTTTGGGAACGTAGTGATAAGAGGCACCAGAATCAATTATCCACTCAGCATCCGAGTTTTCTACATGGCAGCATTCCTCATGATCACATAGTAGAGTCACGTCACCGCCACTAGTAGATGCTACAGCAATAGTATTGCTATCTTCAACCTTTTTCTTGGCTTTTCCTTTTAACAAGTTGCAGTTCCTTTTCATGTGGCCTGATTGGCCACAATGATAGCACTTCACTCTACTTTTGGACTTTGATCTGGATCTGCCTCCTCGTCCTCCAGGTTCTTTGGTTTTACTCCTGCCCCTGTTCTCCATGACAACAGCTTGAGTATCTGGCTGCGAGAAGATTCCCAATGCCTGCATCCTCTTTTCCTCTTCAAAGATCCTATTTTTGGCAATTTCCAATGTGACTATACCACCAAGGGATGAGTTGATTGTTGTTGATCTAAAACTCTCCCATGATTCCGGCAAGGTGTTGAGAAGAATCAAACCATTCACCTCATCATTAAATTCTATGCCGAGATTAGCTAACTCCTTGATGATGCCAAGGAAATCATTAACATGATCTGCTGTCAAAGTGCCATCTTTGTACCTTGAGTACATTAATTGTTTTATATGGCACAATTTATTCTACCCAGTTTTCACCCGGAAAAGTTGATCTAGCTTTGTCCATAGTGTGCGTGCATTAGTTTCATCATTGATATGATTCAGCACACTATCATCAATCCATTGCCGGGTAAATCCACACACTCGCCTATGGAGTAGCCTCCATTCTTCATCCTTCATGTTGTCTGGCTTCTGCTCTAAAAAGGCAAGCTCATGAAATTCCTTCACATAAAGAAGGTCTTACATTTTCCTCTTCCACAGCTGATAGTTTGACAATTTAACATGATCATTTTGCTTTGATTCACCTCCATTGTTCACGTAAATATTAGCAACGCCTAGCTTTGATACCAGTTGTTGGGAAAAATGGTGTAGCGGAATAAACTAATTCCTATGAACACGTGAACAATAACAAAGAATGGTGAAACAAGCGGCTTAACCGACCAATATTAACGGTTAGTGAAAAAGGTGGTGTAGCCAGCCAAGCAAAATAAAAATAGGCAGTTTAACCAGCCACTTAAGAAGAAAATAAAATAAAATGTGCGGTTTAACCAACAACTTAAGAGGAAAAATAAATAATAAAGCAACACCAAATTTTACGTGGAAAAAACCCCAAAAATTATTGAGGAAAAAACCACGAAACAAACTCCGAAGAGTATTCCACTATATGATAAAATTGTACAGAGTATACACTCAAATATTTTTCTCTCTTGGTGTTTCCCACTTCTCCAAGATATGATCACAATCCTGATAAACTAACAATTTTATCACTCAATGTTCTCTTTATGTTCTCTTTCTATGGAGTATACTCACTCCTAAGCTTAATGCCTAGCTCTCAACCCTTTTTTTTCTTTTCACCCGAGCTCTCACTTTGCTCACTTTGGTGTTGCACTCTTGCCACTTGCTTTCTTGCCCCATTGCCTTGCCATTGCATGGGTATTTATAGATGGAGAAACCAACCACCCATGCAATTTATCTTTACCTCATTAAATGAGGTTTATCTGCGATGGTTGAAATAACCATTGTAAATATTCAACAATGGCTGCTGCATGAAATTAATCTATGACAAGGATCATAAAAGGCTAGTGATTTTGTTTTTCCATTGCAATATGATTGCAAGCTCTTACGTTTTAATAATTTAGTCAAATTTTCTCATTTGTATACTGCTACTGGTTCTAATCTAAATATTCTTCTCTTTTACTTATTTTCTTTTTCAATATTTTTAGATTACTCATATGGAGATGATAAAAGGAATTCGAGGGCATGGTTACCATGATGAGCTTGTGGTCCCAATAATTGAGAACACTGCACTTGAAGGAGAGCTCAGGGAGTTTCTAACTGACACAGTAACTTGTTCTTCTTGTTTAACTGTGCAATAAGATAAGGTGGGGCTACTCTCTATTAATTTTATATTCCATAGGAAACAAAAGCTACCTTAAAGAAGAATGCTCAAGCCTAGTGTCGTAGAACAGGTTAAACTTCATAGTGAATTTAGTGGCAAAAAAGAAATATGAAACTGAATAAGAGTTTTGTAGTTCAGGGAATATTTTTGGGGTTCCATTCTGCCATTTGATGACAACAAGTTAATATTGAGAAGAAGCATGAATTGTCTTCAACATGTGTTTGGCTTTGACCTTGATTACATTAAATCTTTATCCTATTCCCTTTCTTATTGATAACTAATGTTTGCATTAATAGTTGGATACTTTTTATCTTTTGCTTTTATTTTCTAATTCTTAAGCTGCTTCTTTTAAAATTTATTTATTTGCATGTTAAACCAAAGGATTAATTATTTTGCTTCTGCAAAAATTTTTCGCTGCATTTAGCAATAAGTAGCATGTTGGCCACGTTTGTAGTAGTTATAGGTTTTTTTTTTAACAGCAAAAGTAATATTTATTTAAAAAAGAAGTACAAGGAGTATCTCAAACCCATAAACATCCCAACTTAAAAGGCATAAATTATATAGTTGAATATCCCTGCCGCTTGGTGTCGACATCAAAACTATGTGTCAACACCACGTCCGTGTCGGGTTCTAGATGCTCAGTACTTCCGTTTGGTGTCGACACTAAAATTATGTGTCAACACCACGTCCATGTTGGGATTCTGGATGCCTAGCCCTCCCGTTTGGGGTCGACACCAAAATTATGTGTCGACACTGTAAGCTCTTCACTTCCTCTTCAACCCACCTTGTATTGACTTCAAGCACAACACCAACAGCGGTAGCAGTTATAGTTTTATTAGCAAGGTTGAACTGTGTATATGATTTTGGCTTAATATTCTGTTGTATTTGAACTTTGAATTAGTCTTCACCAAAATTGTTGGTTTGAACTTTAATTCAAAACAATAGGCTTGATTTTAGCCTTGTGATGGAAGTTACCTATACAGCGTACTACACATGTCTCTCATAACTCTCTGTTTTATAGATAAGAGCTTATCCAAAAACAAGAGCCGTACTTGTTCGCAACCATGGAGTGTTTATATGGGGAGATTCATGGATAAGTGCTAATACACAGGTTGGAATATTGAGAACTAGGTTTTAATTTCTAAAACACAATGATGAATATCTTGCTTCCCTTTTTTGTCTCTCTCCTTTTATATGACTTTACAGTTTTTCCTTTTATTTTAAAACTTGAATTGTGCTTATTTTTAAAGTTAAATAATTATTAAATTCTTGTAGTCCAAGTTTAACTTCATTGCACTGTTTCTCTGATTGTAAAACCTCGATGTTTGTCTAAGGTGAAGGCTGGTAGCATCTTATTTTCTAGTACAAAGAAAAAACTTGTTAAGTTCTTTTGTATGTTTTCCTGATATTTAAGT